TGACCTTGCATGTAGAACATAAATTAGTATTTCAGCTAAACTATAGTACGGTATGTCTCCGTCCACATTATAGTATTTTTTTTGCTTACCCTAATTTATGATTCAGATAAATTGGTATATAAACAGATTTGTGAGTTAACTTTATTGGTTCCTTCATTAGATAAGTGGCAAGTTTTATTGTGAAATGATGATTCTTTGATTGGAGTGAGCAACCTCAATTTCTTGAAAAATCTTCAGCTTCTTTAGCTGTTTTATTTACAAACTATCTGATTAAACATTGATTCATGACTCATTTTCTTGTTCATCATTTTCCATTACAATTATATCATCAACAAACACCAATGAAGCAGTAACCCCCTTTGTATTTAAGTATTTAATGAACAAGGTATGATTACCTTGATTTTGCTTGTACTTTATGGTTGTCATTATGATGTGAAACGTACATGCGATGATGTAGTTACTTTAAGAAATTAATGAGAACAATTTAAACAAATAATCCCAAAGTAAAATTTATCACTTATAGCAAAAGATTGGTCCTTGGAATTCGTGGTTTTTAACTTGGTGGGGCAAAGTAGAGCAAGTTCAATCAACCAAACAATTCAAGAAACACAAAGAATATTGTAAAACTACGATGGTAACAAGAATCTACGAATTAATAAAGTGAACTTTCACCTTTGGAGCCCATACGCTCAACTAATCTAGGCTTTAGCGGAAGAAGAGTCTCCACCTTAGAATCGAGGTCGCTCTGAGGAAGAAGGAACCTTGGATCGTCGTTCTTGGATAGGTGGCCGGAGTAGGGAAATCTGGACAGCGGTTGGGGCCTCCCGGGTAAGGGTGTGGTGCAAGGAAACTAAGAGATCGTGGGAGAAGATGAACTCACTAAGAGAACAAGAATAAATTTTCATTTCATCAAAAACTCCCATTACAATGCATGAGGCCTCATATAAATAGACCAAAATGAGAAAATAAGAAATGACACAAATACCCTTCCGGGCTACATAAGCGACTAAATGCCCATAAGGGCAAAAGTGGAAAAACATCAAAATAAATACGCTACTACATGAAATGACAAAATACAAGTCATGCTCTTGGTCGTCGATCTCCGGCGTCGAAAATGCTGACGATGTCCTCATCACATTATTTATGCAAATCTTTTGAATCAAGTTCTAGGTGTTTATTTGAGATCATATAATGTTTTTTGTTAGATTAGAGGTTTTGTTGGTACTGGAACCTCCAAAATTAGGGGAATATTTATATATATTTTCTCTTCTAAATCACCGTGAAGGAATACATTGAACATCACATCATAGCAAATCCCGGACGATCAATGATAATAGGATTCTTATTATATTTATAATGTTTGTCAAATGACAATTGGTAAGTCAAGGACACTATTTTTATCCTCAAGTCTTTTAAGGAGATAGTTGGAGATTGTAATTCTTATTTTTCAGGACCTTGAGAAGAATCTTGTATAATCTAATCAACACAAGAAAAGATGAGTAAAGAAAGTTTCTCGTCAGTAGTGATATCAACACAAGAATTTTTTTGGGTTGGTGGATGAACCTTTATTCCCCTTTTAGGTTGATGAATAGCCCAAAAGATACACTTGAGTTCTAATTTTCCTTTATAATTACTATGAATAAGCAAAAAGGCAGTACATCTAAAGATTCATGGTGTAGGATTATTTGTGGTGCTCATATTGGGATAAAATGAAATAATACTTCCATTAGTTATTTGTGGTGCTCATATTGGGATAAAACAAAACTCTTTAGAATAATTAGTGGATTGATTTTGATTTCTCCTAAATTTGGTATTGCAGTAAAAGAGCCATCAATGATATTTATTTATCTATTACTTGAAAAAAGGTCTTCTTGCACTATTTTTTTAATGAAGAATGCATCATGGCATTTGCAACTCTTGATCTAGAAATCGGTGATGACATTATCAGAGACTCTTAATCCATAAAAAAAGATATGCTTATCTGAGTGAGTGCCAAGAAACAAGGTCCGCTATGCATTTTTTAACATTTCTAATAATCCCTTTTAAGGCTTTTTATCCTCTCTTTATTAAATTCTCCTTGATATAGGCCTATATCTTAAATTTGTTTGGGTCATTATTATATTAGCTTGGCCTTGATTTATTTTGTTCACCATGATATCACTATTCATTGCTTATTATATTGGATTTGTCATTCAATTTTCAATGTTTTTTTTTCCTAGTGCGTCAACTTTTTCACAATATAGCTACACCAGAGATTGCCTTTTTTTGTCCCGCTTTAGAATTAAATGATTAGGCTTTCCAATTCTCCACGTAGTTTCTTCGCCGTCCATCACAAATCACAAATATAGACGCTTATAGGCATTGGGCTCAGCAAAATCTTCTTGCTCTCCTCTGCATGATGATAGGGATGGTCCCATTTTAGAGATGATACCTCATCTTTTCCAAGATCTAAATTCTAAATGGATCACATTTTGTACAAGGCATGAAAGAAAGCTATAGATTATCATTCTAAATGAGTTTTGTTTTTAATAATAAGTGCACCTTCACTACACGCCAATCTGATGGCCTGGGAGTGGTTTGGTTTTTGCCACTTATTCTTCAAGAGGTTGGCGTGCTCTGTGATGGATTTAATGATAACAGTGGTCTTCACTTTAATCTCATATATTTAGACATCTATTGGTTTTGAATATGGCTATCTTACAATGTCGGAAATGTTAGTGGATAGAAACATAATGTGTCACTCCTTTAGTCTTTCAATTCCATAATCATGATATTGATCATGGAATCTTCCTCATCCCAGGCATCAAATATTGGGTCTCTTTGCTTTGAATTGATATCTAATAGGTGATTTAGTTTTGTTTTCCCTGTTTAAAATGTTTGAATTTATCGTAATCTTTAAATAGTTTTTGCCTTGAGTACTGTATGTGACTTCAATGTTTTGAAGATTGCTAGACGGTTGAAGGGGGTTATTTCTTCACCAGTTATCTTTCTGAAACAACTAGTTGGTGTAAACATTATTTTCTTAGTCATGATGGTTAGACACCATGATATATGTGACTATTAGAGAGATTAGAAAATTACGGCTATTGTTTGGCAAGATTTAAAGAATGCACTTGAAGTAGATGAATCTCATCGTCCCACTGACTGATGAAGCCCTAGCATAGGTTGAAGAAGATTTCGTGGTAGCAAGAGAATGAAGCTCAATGATGATGATCAAAGATCAACAACTAAGAAAAAATGAGAAGTTTTTGTCAACTAATGCTTAGAAGGCCTTAGATCAAATTAAGATTCTTTATGTCATCTTCTTAAATCATTAGGGTTTGTAGTTTTCTAAGGTATTTAAGGTTACATGTGATGCATATATGATGGGTATATCAGGCATCTTAAGCCAAGAAATCAACCCAATGCTTTTTTTTTTTAATTGAAAAGTTAGATTGAAGCTTTGAAAATATATTATATATATGATAGAAATACTCTATGAGATGCAAGATTGAAGAAGAGCAAATAATTGATGATTTGGGTTCTTAATAATGAGTGTGATATATATATATAGGTTGTTGACAAATGTAGAGATCAACGAGCCAAGGTTAATGAGCTGACGAGATTTGGATGCAACTAGCAATGAAGATGAAGGCCAATATGTGTTAGGCGGTGATAGCTTAACATTCATTGACGCTGAAGGCCAAAACTAACAGAGTCGATAAATGAGAAGAAATTTTAAAAATATAGGGCTCTGATATCTTGTGAGAAAATGAGTTGTATTAATCACATGTGAATTTAATTAGCAGTAATTATGTAATATTGTACAAGGAAGCATGTGCAAAAAGGAAACGCCCAATTTGAAATAAAATCGATTTAAACAGGGGAACTATATTTCATGATCTAAGAGTAAGCTTTGAGTTTTTCCATAATTAGCTACTCCCATAATGAACATTGCTAAATGATTTTGATTCCAAAACATGCAATGAATTTTTTGGGGATTATATTCATAGCACTCAAAATATTGAGATTTATTTATTCAACAAATAACTTCATTATATACATACATATCATCCAAAACATCAAAATAAAAATAAAAAATTTAAAAAATAACAGTGTTAAAAAATCTGTCACCCATCATTGTGCCTGTGGGGCACATCTCCCTTTGTCGTGAAGCCTGTGATCCTTCACATGCCCTGTTTTGCTCATTTAAGCTCACAAACAAAGGCATCGAAGATCCTTTTTTGCCCATAGCAAATTACACATGAAGGGATAGGCGATTTATTTCTCTTTGTGCTCTTTGCAAGCTTTCACCCCGAGTTCATGTGGCATGTGCTGGAGACCTCCATAGGTCCAATGACATGCAAGTTATTAATGAGCTTATAGGGAGAAGGCATTAATAGACCCATGATGAGTTTTGACAAGATCGCTCAATATAGTTGATGAGGGCGGACCTAGAGAAGATGTAAATAATGAACTTACTGAATTAAATATCTAAAGTTCAATGTTTCGAGTGTTATGTATATAAATCCACTTTGTTTTAATAAATTTTCAGTCCAATAATGGACAACAAAACACATCTTCCAACAAATAGTTGCACCACGAATCACTTGACTGGAAGGCGATAGCCTTTGATCTTTAAATCGGCCATATGATGATCAAATCCTTAAAAAAAAATTTCAAGTTCTTATTCAAGTTATGTGTATTTGAATTCAAATTCTTTTGCCGTGTAACATTCATAGAATGCACCCAAGTCTCTTCACTTGGATTCATGTACGTAAGTTTATTCTTCTAATGAATATCATTTAATCCTCTAGGAATTACATTTTTCTTTTAAATTAATATTAAGAATTAATTTGAAAATAAGTATCTCTCATAATTATTGAAAGGATTAAATAAACATTTAATAGATGAAGAGAGACAAAAAACATTTTACTGGAAAATTTTAGACTGGCTCTCATATCATAGATTTACTTTATTTTCTCTCACTTGATGCGATGTTTCACACGTTGGCTTTTAAGATATATGTGCTCCTCGAGGGTGTCAATGAAGAAAAGGTTGAAAGTAACTTTGGAGAAATGTCCGTGGATGTAAAATTTCATGATGTTCAAGGGAAGAATTATCGCATTGCTATTCCAAAGCTGAATAAGGAGATTATGCCTGAGAAATGCAAGGTGTTGGTCAAACCAACAAAAATTATCATTTCGCTTTTCAAAGCTTCAAAAGGAAACTGGTTGGACCTCAATTTCAAAGAAGATAAGGTAAGCTTCTTTATGATCATTTACTTCTTTTTGGATTGATGCATGTTATATGAAAAGCATTTTAAGAAGACTTTTAGCCTGTGTTCTGCATTTTATTTATTTATTTATTATTCAAGTTGAAAAGTTGTTGCTGGATTTTCAGGGTATCGTTTCTGAATTTCATGTCAAAAGCCCGACTTGCTAATGACTTAATGTTTCTCTAATTACTTTTTTTTATAACTCACAGTACATATGTACGTTTTAATTTAAAGCAAGATTATAAATCCTTAGTGACTCCAAAATTTGCTAAAATACAACATTTAAAACAAAACCTATGAGCCTTATAATCAACCTAATTACAAAGATCATACCAAAAACAAAATTAAAAACCAGCTACTAGCAGATGTCCCAGAAAAAGCCACCAGCATCCATGCAGTCTACTATCTACTATTGCAAACCAATGCCAGGCAATCAGCAACCCGATCAGTAGCATCATAAACAACCAACCGCAACCAAAGAATTATTGCTTTGCAGCTTTCTTTTTGTTTTTCCGCCTACCACGGTTCCCACCACCAAAGAATTACTGTTTCTATAATTCCTTTTCGTTTGCCGTTTTGGCTTTTACAGATGTTAACGTTGAAGCCACTCTACTAAACGTATAGTGTTCTTATCAAGAATACTTTGTTTGTTTCATTGATAATAGGAAAAATTGTGAATATATCATAGCTTATTATTTATATGACTGTTAAAACTAAAATACGTGTAATAAAATTAGTAACAACAACATTTTGATAAACAAAAGTATTACAGGATTGTCTCCCATACTTTTTTTCCCCCTTGATTTCCCTGTCTCGAATAATTTTGTAAGCTGAGTTCAAACCTGCTTTGTAGTTCAAGCCAAGCGTGGACAAGGGCAAGGAGAAGGATCCCATGGCTGGAATCATGGATTTGATGAAGGTTAGATTTCAACTTCCCTTAGTGATTTCTGGGAAGCAAAGCTGAAATGTTTTCTTTCCTGTCCTGATGTGTTTGATGTTTTTGGTTCGTAGAATATGTATGATGATGGTGACGACGATATGAAGCGAACGATTGCCAAGGCATGGAGTGATGCTAGATCTGGAAAGAACGCAGATCCCCTCAAAGGCTTTGGGCGCTGAATGCAAACAAAAACTAAGGTCTGATGGTGATTTTGCTTTGTTTAATATATGTTGCCTGCCTCATTATGTACTTGGAATTACTTAATGGCTGCCGAGAGCTAGAACAGAAACAATTTGCTACCTTTATATTCTTGAGTGGCGAGTGAATCAAGTTTATATGTGAATCTTAAACATGGGGGCTTATGGCTTCGTTTGGGATGATTTTCTTCCTGCTTCTTAAAGCGGCTTTATACTACAAAAATTTTAATTTTAATTTTTGTATTAGAAAGCCGCTTTTTAGAAAGCAGGAAGAAAACCGTCCCAAAAGAAGCCTATGTCTTTTTTTATTTAATATTTAATTTTATACTTGAGGACAAACATAACATTTAAATGGCTATTCCAAATGTGAAGTAATGTTAAGTTTTAATTGGATTTTTATTATTGTATTTATTAATTATATTTATTAATTGAATAAGTAAGCTTTATTTAAGATAATTTTCTTACTGTTTTAGCACAAAATTGTTTTTAACAATTGTGAAAAAATAATGGATTAAAGTTTCCAAATAAAGCTTAGATTTATCTTGATTTTAATAATATTTTTCTAGAATTTCACCTACAAAGATAAACTCAAGAATATTGTAGAATGTTGATCTCTTTAATTTTGATAGAAAAAATGTCAACCAAATTAGGTCACCAATCTAACAGTATTTTGATGAATTCAAAATATTATTTTTAAAATTAATAAATTTATATTACTCTATACATTTGATTAATAATTAAAATTTTAAATTTAGTTATTGTTAATCACATTATGGTTAATAAGTATTAATAGGCTTTTTATTTCACACATCTATTCTTTAAGAATTTGACTCTAAATATGATACAATAAAGAAAAAAATGTATGTAGTAGATCCTACATAATGGGATAAAAGTTTGATGTTATTGTTGCTGTTGTATGATGTATTGTGATTATATTGTTTGGCATTATTTTATAGGGAGATTTACATACATACCATCTAATACTATTCTATTTACATATTTAACATTTAAAACTTTAATTTTACATACATACCACCCATAGTTCATTTTCATACCAAATATGAGTGGTAGAAATGAAATATATGAGTGATAGGAAAGAAATATAAGTGGTATATTTGATATTAAAATAATATAGAGTGATATGCATGTAATATTAAAGTTTTAGGTTTTAGATATATAAATAGGATGTTATAAAGTGGTATGTATGTAAATAGAATATTTTATATTTCTATGTGCAATGTTCAGTTTGGTAATGAAATGTTTTGGGTCAAGATGAAGCTGTTATGCTAAATGCTAAAATGGTAAATATGTTGTTGTTGTATAATAAGATATAGATGTTCACTCTCTTTGTCCATCTATTTCAAATTAAATTATTTGCTATATACTGGAAGATTGTTTGGAGCTATCAAGTAGGCCCATGATGTACTAGCAATGAGCTAACATTATGGTCATATTACCCATCGTTGTTTAGCTTGATTGGTGGGTGAGTATTTGGGATCCCCCAACTCGTGCTCGATTCCTCTCAAGCGGCAATTCCTCTTAAGTGGGGCCCAATCAAGTACGGGCCAGGAGGTTTCTGGGATGCGTGCCTCTTTTAGGTCAGCGAAGAATTAGTTATGCTTCCAAGCGCCTTTTAAAGAGTGGTAGCGGGTGGATATCTCATTAAAAAATATATATATATAAATCTGCGTATAGTTACATGCCTGTCATTATCAATTTGATCTCTCTCTCACTGCATCTGAGAATTTTGTAATCCAATGCAAGGTAGTCTTTGTTTTCGACATCCATTAGCACTTTATAGCTGCTAATTGCCTAATCCGAACATGGCATTCTTTATCGGCCGAACAGAGTTACTTCCAGACGATTCAAATTATACGGAGGTTAGAATAGATTCAGAATGTTGAAATCTAATTGATTAGTACGAAGACAAAATCAACTATAGAATTTAAATCAAATAAACAATGACAAAACCCCTTCAACAGGTCTTCATGCAAACATCAACGGAAGGAATTCTCTCTTCTCAAGCAAATCCTTTCAACAAACGCAAAAGATCTCACAGATCCCCAAGCAGAGCAAATAAACAGAGCTATTCACTTAGCAAACAGGGCAAAGGATATAAGAGAAGCGAACAAGAATGAGCAGAGGAGCTCCGGCAAAAACCCAGCAACTCCGTTCTCCATTGCCGGCGACGGAGCAATCTCTCCATCTTGTGCTTGAACCAATGCAAAGCTAAGAAGCAGGAAAATAACATAAAGCAGAAGAGAAGACTTCATCATCATGGCTTCCAAATGAGAAATGAGAATTGGGCAGATGTGAAGATCCGTATGGTTTCTGGTAGAATTTATAGTGTTTATTAATGGAAGAGTCCCAGTTCAGAAGAAAGAGGAAGAAGATAGCCGTTGGCAGCAAAGAGAAGGCCCACGAAAAAATTGAAGGGTTTGAATTCCAGCTGTTTCACGTGAAGTAGCCGTTAAAGGGACTGCGTGGCCAAAGAGGAATATGGCTGCATGTTTTGACATGATTGGGACTTGGGAGATAGCTTTGCTAGCCGTTGAACGGGTAGCTTTTTTTAATTAAGATAAATTCATATATACGGTCATACATTCAAATTATAAATTCAAAACTTCTTGTTTGAAAATCAAAACTCTCAAGCAACAAATCAAGACAAGCTGTATAAATGAAGAAATTATTCTTTGTGGTCATTGGACGGCGTCTAGAGGTGAATCAAGAAGCGCCACATCATTTTTTTGTTGTATATCGGTATTGTATACTGCTGTGTACTGGGTGACGTGGCGCGTCCTGATTCAGTCTCTAGATCATCTGTTGACTGCATAAAATAATTTCTCGTATAAATGAGCCAAAACATATCTTAAACTGAGTTATACCAAATCTAATATCATTCGAGATTGAATCAAATGACTTCGACATAAATAAATTGGATTGTTCACAACCTAAATAGAAATTTTACTCACTACAAATATCATATAGTCTTAATTTTTTTGTGGAAAATGCTTTGATGGGCTTCATAAAATCAAGCCCAATGATTACATCCCAATTCAGCTAGCCCATTAATGACTGTTGATATTATTATTATTATTATTTATTTTATTATATATTTTAGTAGTTTAGTATATTTTTCTATTATAAAAATTATAATAAAATATCGTGATGTAAATAAATCACAATGGATTTTGAAATTATTTAATAGCGCTTAAATAAAAATCATGCTTACGGTCTAAAAAATAAAATAGAAATAAAGTTGTCTCATATAAACCATTAGTTGATAAATTTTTTGAAAATAATGAATTAAATTCTACTTTTAATAAATTTAGGTTCCAAAAAAAAAAATTAAGGGAAAAAAGATTTGCTTATTACTTTATCATAATTAAAATATAATAATATCTATAATGTAGTAAATATGATTTAGAAATTAGATTTATAATAACTCCTTAAATATTATTTAACTTCATCAAAATATGAGTTTTTACACAAACAACCCTTAGCTATGCCAATATGCCATCCTCTGCAATATGAACTGTGAGAACTTGTTGAGCATGTGCAGGAAGGACCCACATCTTTCTCTTATTTGGATCTTTTGGTTGATGCCTGGACAAGTAGTCTATCCACAGAAGCGCTTTCACTACTTTATTTCCTTCCCAGTTGAAAGGAACAAAATTATATATATTTCAGTTTCAATTTCCAACTAAATAATTATGACTGGCTATTTGGTAACATGATTTCCGCTTCGTTTGGGACAACTAAGGCTTCGTTTGGGACGGCTTTCTTTTTGCTTTTTAAAACAGTTTTTTATTATAGAAAAAATTAATTTTGTATTAGAAAGCTGCTTTAATAAGCAGAAAGAAAGCCGTCCCAAACAAAACATAAGACTTTATTTGGGACAGCTTCCTTACTGTTTCTTAAAGCAGTTTTTTAGTACAAAAAATTAAATTTTAAGAAGCAATAAAAAAGTCATCCCGAACAATGCCTTCATCTAAGTCAAGCGAAACAAAAAAACCCAATAAATTTAAATCGCACATAGTCTTAAATGAATCTCTTTTTTTATATGTTTTGTCTCAAATCCCGGGTTTACTAATCACTAGATCCAAGAGTTTGTAAGATGTGCTAAAGAGTCATTAAGCATATAATAATTTTTTTTAAAATTTTTAAAATAATAATGATGCGCCTATAGAGGTGTAAATGAGTCGAGTTAAGCTCAAGACACTCTTGGCATGAGCTTAAGCTTGATAAATTAATCGAGTTTGAGCTTAAGGTTAAGATTAATTTAACGAATTCGAGTTAGATAGCTGGCTCATTCTTATTCAAATAGATATTAAAATAAAATGATTAAAAAATAAAATGAGAAATAATATGAATAATTTGAATTAAGAAAAATAGACATAATTTTTAAATACATTAACAACTTTAAACTAAATGCATTATTTTTGCTTTATATTTAAAGTGTATTTTTTCTAAATATTATTTAAACAATTGTGTTACGAGCTAGCGAGTCAATTTGGGATTGTCTCAAGCTTTGTTAGTTAGTTCATCAAGTTTAGCTTATGAATCATTTATTGAGTCAAGTCAAGGTCAATCCAAACTTAGCTAGTTAGCTTATCAAAGTCTTTGCTCATGACCATTTAACAAATTGAGCTCGAGCCACCTCACGAGTGGACTTGACTCAGTTACACAATTTGATATATACAAATGCAAATAGATATATTATGATGTTCAATATGCAATGCACAAAAATTAAGTTGATCTGGTCACAAAACATCTTATAAAGTTGATAATTCATATTGCTTTATAATAATATCAATAAAAATTTTACATCAAGAAAGTAATTATTTTTTAAAATGTATTTTCTTAACTTCATACAATCAAATGATACGTAAAAGTAGCAGTATAAACGAGTCAATTCGAGCTCAAGTGAAAGCTAATTTAAACTTGAGCTTACTTTTTTTAATTTAGTTCGAGCTTAACAATATTAATAAATCAAGCGTTCACAACATTTTTTGGGCCTACTGCAACAGTTTAAATATTTACTAAATTCTTTATAGTGGTTTAGTAACATCTGCATATCAATTGTATTTGTGTTCCCTGAAAAGGCTTTTACAATAATTTTATGAGTGCAGTTGTAGGAAGGCTTTAGCAACGATTAAAATTGCTGCTAAAGATCAGCACAATATTAGATATATATGTCAATTATATGGATATTTGTCTATGATTGTATCTTCTTAGTAATCTTTTAAACCATAAATAGAGCAACAACTTGTAAACAAAAGTCATAAATAGCCAAATAATCATAACATTTGTAAACAGATGTCATAAATACCATAAAGCTTGGAGAATCAACCCAACTTACACATCCAAGCAAGAAGATAACATTTGTTGAGCAACAAGAGAATTAAACTATCTACAACTAGGGCAGACTAAAACCATCAATATTGGGTTCCAAAGTTAAAATGATTGTAGTTGCAACAAGGATATGGAAGACATCAATTGCTAGAGCACCAGCACTGGAGCCACAGGCCTTGTGAGCTAGTTTTAATGGATTTGTGATCTGCAATACTATGATTTGCACTCTATAGATCAACTACATGGTTCCAAAGTTTGTCGCTTTGCGGCACCGATTGTGCTATGTAAAATTAATCGAAAAAAGAAGTTTTAAGCAAAATACATGTTAAGAACAAATTCAAACATCAAGCCACATCTAAACTACCTCAAATGACACTCTCAATTTGCTCACAATTTATGAAAATTAAACAACATTTATACCTTATAAGGTCGATCTTAACTCTAAAAGTTTGAGTTAGATCACGAGCTGATTCATTTATTATGAAAGAGAGAAAATGATCATTTAAGATTCAAATTATTTTTATTATTAAAAAAATTGAAGAAAAATAATTAAAAAACACTTAATATAAGAAAACTATATATAACTTTTAAGTATTGTAAACAACTTTATACTTAAATTCTTGACATCTAATATATTTTTTAAAAGAGTTAGGTCGCAAGCTAATGAGTCTAGTTGATGCTGACTCTAACTTTGATCATTAGCTTATTAAGCTCAGCTCACGAGTCATTTATTAAATCAGCTCACAAGCTGTCTACCTGACTCACTTGCACCCCTACGTAAGAGTTTAGCCTAATGATTGTCTCATATTTTAAATACATTGATTTAAATGTATATGCAAAAATATGGAGGAAATTAAAAATTAAATAAATAATCTTTTAATAGCTTGATTTAAATTCTTGCAAATAAAAAAAATTTCCATAATTAAAAAAAAAAAACAAAATTCCATAATTTAATTTTGCATACAAGAAAAAGAATAGAAAATAATTATATATGTGAAAAAAAGGTGCAGAAGTCGAATCTATCCCATCCTATACACTGAATACGAAACAACAAACAAGACCAATAGATTCTCATCGTTCAATATTCGGAGCAGGATCAGTGCCAGCTTGAATATTGAGCTCTTCATCAGCAGCAATATCTGGGCCATCTGACTTGCCACCGGCGACCGCCGGCGCCGCCATCTTCTTCAGACTCTGCCGATGATATACCTGCCTCAGTCTCTCCAGCTCATTCTGGAGCGCTTCTTGATGCGCTGCATTTTTTATTTATTTTAAATTTTCACGTTATTTATTTAAAATACTTAATTAAATCATTGCGAAGCGTAAAATACAAGCTAAGATAATTGTAGAAGCAGCTAGCACTGTACCAGAATACATTCCTATAATTATTTGAGGTGACGGCTCATTTGATTGCAATTATTTAGAAAATGAATTAAACAAAATAAAAATAATAATTTGTCGGTCGTACTTTTCATATATATATGAAAAATAAAATTATTATTTATAAGGGATTTTCTTAGAAGATATATGAATTTTAAAATCAACATTATTTTTCCAAATATCTTTTCTGATTTGTTAGAAGATATATTAATTGGTCGTAGGATGTAGTGCGGTGATTAGAGCGTTGCGGAGCTCCATATCTAATGTTGCAAGCCGAACTAGATAGTGAAGCATAACAACGCTTCAAATCCGAGGCTGTGGTGCGATGAGTCGAGTTAGGTAATTTTATTTTTTCTTTTTCATGTTTAATTTGAAGAATTGAGTCTTTGATGTGATATATGTGGATCTCAATCTCTTTTGAGAATAGAACTTAGGGAGAAGTGAAGAGAGATAATAAGGGAGTGAGACCCACCGAGGTTTAGGGTGGATGGTGGGCAAGCACGGTTGGGAACCCCCCATCCGGGGTCCGAATCCCCTCTACTACGGTCTTGCCTCTTCAGTAGAGCAAAGCAAGTGTGAGGCCGATGTTGGTGAGTGGTCTCGCTAGGTTCCGTCAAGAGATTTGTTGTGCCGCTAAGGACTCCCTTTAGAGTGGCAACGGATAGATACCCCGATTCTCATAAAAAAAGATAATGAGAAAAAGAAATCCGGAAAATTTCTCCTATTTTTATAGTAAATTTATTTATGCGACATGACTTAGTGATTTTTTTCTTGATTTCTAATGTTTCATCGAGTTAGAGGCTAATCTTAATCAAAATTTAGTCAGAGATCCTTCCTTATCTGATTTGTTTCGAAGAAATTTTACTGAAAAAAAAGAAGAATTTAAATATTGCTATAGACTAGCAAAATTAATCAAGAAAGTCTTGATTTACAAAAGAAATTATTTCCATGTTACTCATCTGATAACTCAATAAATGATATATATTATGCAGTACGAGATAAAGAAATCATAATTTCATCATATAATTCATAAATTTTATGCCATTTGAATTCCATACGAACCACCTATTATATTAACTACACAATTAATATAACTAAATGAGCTATAAATAATCATGGCCCACCTGCAATAATACCATATTTTACTTATGATATGCTGTTAACCAAGCCTTGCGGACACAGAGATGGCGGAGATGGGAGAGAGAGAGAGAGAGAGAGAGAGAGAGAGTAGAGCGAGAGAAAGCTCACCATCCTTAAAAATCTTATCTTGTGCAAGAGCTGCAATTCTCTGCTTAAGCTGGCAATTACCGACGCTTAGAACCGAGCGCTGGCGGTCGAGGAAAGCTACTCGCGGCGACAATGCCGACACTTCCGTCTACAACCATTGACGACATAATAATCAACAAAAAAAAATCATATTTTTATTTGTAAGCTCGAATCAGAATGCTCGATCTGATGGGGTTTTATAGGACCCTGTCGTTCATGTTCCTACCTGCAACGTGTCCACACTCTTCTGAAGCTCCGATATGTACTGCAATTTTCTTACTCTCGATCTCTGCGCCGACTGCCGGTTTGCTAAAATTCTGATGATTTAGTCAAATTATCAGTACTAGTCAAACTATAAGCTTGATCAATCTGTGTGAAATGCTGAGGAAATTATTAGTCAGATTATATTCAAGTGCAAAAAATTAAGGTGTTGTGAATAAAGAATGAGTCAAAATGATTCCTCTTTTATTTGAGAAATTATTTAGTAAAGTTTTGAGATCAATCAGAACGCATCACATCACTCGGTAAATAGCAGTATCGAGCAAAAAAATGACATGGAGCATTCTGATTGGTCTCCAGACGTCGTTCAGCCTCCGCACGGAATAATTTTTGCTTTCATTTTTATATTAAACATAAAAATCTGACAAATGTGAAAATTTTGTATATTTTTATAAATTTCTTATTTTCAGAATTTTTTATATTTGAATAGACTTTCATTTCATTAAATTTATTTTAATACATATAAATAAAATATAAAAGTTAATTAATAATTTAATTTTTTAAAAAAATTAATAATTTAGTAATTATTTAATTTAAAATTTAATCAATTATCTGATTAAATTTTATGAAAAGAAATTATATTAGAATATTTTGATATAAATCAAACTAAAATAGAGCTCTTTGCACTGTGATAAGCACCATTAATATATTGACGCAAAATGATGCAGGATGGACTTCAAAATGCATTGATTTGTAATATAGTTAGTATAATTCAGAATGTAATACATATCATGAATATTAAAAAAAATAAGAGCTTTCAAATTTATAGCAGAATTTTTTCAATTAAAAAAGAAATACCTCCTGACCCTCTTGGGATCGGCAAATGGTTGGGATGTTTTTTGCTCCGGCGTCGTAATTGTGGCGCTCGCCGCCGCTGCGGCCAGCGCCGGTTCAGCATTACTCGCACTACTCTGCACTTCAGATGGATCATTGCCTGAAGAATTAGGCCGGGTTTGCGGATCCTGGTTGCTGACGCTATTATGATCTGACGGCGTCGAAGGCGGCGTAGAAGGCGGAGCTGACGAGGGTGGCCGCGGGTCATCGGAGAACATAGATATTAGCTGCTCTTCGTCAAGCCCATCAAAATAAGCCACCGCGGCAACGGCTTGGGAATCATCTGACGGGACAGAGGCGGATTCGAAGAAGGCTATGGAATCGCTTATAGCGCGGCGTTGGGAGGCGCGTTTGGATAAGGAGAAGTCGAAGAATTCGTCGGCCCATGTGGTGGAGGCGGGGAGTGCAGTGGGAAGAGGGCAAAGGTTGAAGGAAGCCATGGATGGGAGGTGTGGGTGGTGCGGGAAGGAAGGCCATGTGTTGGGGGGTATGTTAGATGGAAATTTGGGGGGAAGTTGCGCCATTGACGTACAGTTTGGTCTTTTTTGAGGAAAACTGGATTGAGCTGCAAAATTGCTGTTGCAGACCTGGCGGAAATTTCTCTCTCACTCTCTTTATCTATCTATCTATCTATCTATGCCTATCTCTATCTCTATAGCTAATTTAATTTCTCTCTAGCTGTGTTTAGGAAAAATCTTTCTTGTCCTATGGGTGGAGGGAGAGTGGAGGAGGGGAGTGATCACATGACAAGGGGGGGAAGACGAAGGACAGCTAGCACCAGCTATATGGAACATGCCAACATGGAGGATGAGGAAGAAATCTAGAGAGAGAGAGAGATAGAGAGAGAGAGAGATGTGGAGAGAGAGAGATGTGGAGAGAGAGAGGCAGGGCCGCAGGGCAACGGTTAAGGGAAGAAAAGGGCGGAGTTGATTAATTTAAGCCGGGGAGAGAATAGATCACGGGCCAGGTGAACGTCTTTTGTTGGGCCTACGTACTCTCTTTAGTTCTGGTTTTCTTTTATTTTTTTTTTTACGTGATGGGGATCCTTTGGAACTCGGATTCTCTTTTGAAATTAGTTACTTATTTTGTTGACGAGAAATTTAATGGAATTTTTTTTTTCTTATTTTGATTTGAGGCTTGTTGGGTCTTGAAATATTCGCAGTGATAGAGAAATATAAAGTTTAACATCTTAGTTATGTATGAAAATCTGACATACAATTAAATAAAAGAGAGGGTGTAGAGTTCATAAGAGACACGATAGTTTTTACGTTAGAATTCTTGAAATGGGGGAAAAAATATAGGGTATGTCCCAATTTGAATGAATTCACTAGCGTTTGCAATCAATTATAAATGAGGCCATTCCTTAAGGGAATGCCTTGGTTTGATGTAACAAATATACAATATATAAGTGCATTACATGGTGGGAATTAGAAGAATCAATATTAACATGTTCATTTAGTCGGCAAGCGACTGAGGTCAAAAAGATAGTAATCGGGTGGCGGTGGTCGGAAGGACCATAGACGATGGGTGACAGAGGTCGGAAGGACCATTATCTGGCGACTGATGTCGGAAGAGGGGCGATGGAGGTCGGAAAGACCATAGTTTGGAGACAAGCTAGGGTTGGAAGGACCATTGTTTGGTGGCAGATGTCAAAAGGACATAATTTGGTGGGAGACAATGGGCAGAAAGATCGTTGTCTAGTGACATAGATCAGAATGACCATAATCAGTAGGTGAATGAGGTCAGAAAAATCGTAGTCGGGCGACGGGGGTCAAAAAGATCGTAGTTGGGCAAAGGTGGTCGGAATGATCATTGTTTGGTGATGGAGGTCAGAAGGACTGTAGTCGACAGGAGACAAAGGTCGGAAAGATCGTAGTCATGTGATGGAGATCGAAAGGACCATCGTCGGCAGGAGACAGAGGTCAAAATGATCGTAGTCGGTGGGTGATAGTGGTAAAAAATACCATTGTTTGGTGATGGAGGTCAGAAGAACTGTAATTTATGGGCGATAGTTGTGAGACCTCGTTCCCTTACTGTTCTTCTCTGACTTGGATTTTCCTCCCAGGATCGTCCGGGACGATAGTGACGAAAGGACGATCTCACTATCGTCCCGGACGATCTTGGGAGGAAAATCCAAGTCAGAGAAGAACAGTAAGGGAACGAGGTCTCACAATAGTGGTCAGAAAGACCGTTGTCTGGCAACGAAGGTCGGAAGGACCGTATCCAGTGAGAGATGGTGATAAGAAAGACTGTAGCCATGCGACAGAGATTGGAAGGATCGTAGTCGGCAGGCAACAGAGCTTAGAAGGACCATAGTCGGCGTGTGACAATGGTCAGAAAGATCATTTTCTGGTGACGGAGGTAAGAATGATCGTAGTCGGTGGGCGACGGTGGTTAGAAAGACCATTATCTACAGCCAAAAATCTGAAGGACCATAGTCAATAAGAGATAGAGGTTAGAAGGACAGTAGTCGGTGGGCGACATTGGTCAGAAAGACCATTATTTGGTGACGGAGGTTGAAGGACCATGTGCGACATTGGTCAGAAAAACCATCACTTGCACCTTTTCACTAACATCGTTTGGTTTAATAATACCAATAATAAATTAATTTTGCATTACAATTTCAAACTTTAATTTTAGTTGGTTTTACTGATAGTGATTAGGCAGGTTTCATAGAATATAGAAAGAGCACAAGTGGATTAAGCAATGCTTCCCTTGCCTTCAACTTAAACAATATTATTATCACAAAATTTGACTTCTAATTTCTTTGACATATCAATCTCTTTGAAAAGTGACTTCATTCCAGTCATGTGATTAGAACAAACACTATCAAGGAACCAAATTTCTTAATTATCACAATCACCTTAGAAATGTGTCATAAACAAATTATTTTGATATTGTCTTTTCTATAACATTTGCTTGTTTTTGTTTGGACTAATATCTATCTTCTGAATGTACAAACTTCTTACAAAAATTACGCTGCATTTTATCTTTGCCTTCTTGATTCCTTTGTTTATTCTAACAATTTTTCTCAATATGATCAAATTTCTTACAATAATAGCATTGCTTTTGACCTCCTCTTGATCTTTTATTTCCTTGATCTTTTATTTCCATAAGATCTTCTTCCATGAAAAGCACCACAACCACCTCTTCCTCTATAAGCACTTCATGCTCCTCTACCACAACCTCCTTCTTTGTTGTCACTAGTTGAAGTTTCCTTCACTTGAAATGCCTTTTCAATTGTCTTCAATTTTCTTCTGTTTATTCTCTTCTCATGAGACATCAACAAACTCATAATGTCATCAAAAGAATACACAACAAGATCATTGGATTCTTCAATAGCATCCACTACATGTTCAAAATTTGTTGGAAGACTACTTAGAACTTTGGAGACTACCTTCTCATCAGATATTTGCTCTCCAAATTATCGCATTTTGTTCATAATTGTTGACACTCGAGAGAGATAAGTTTGAACACCTTATCCTTCATTCATATTCATAGTTTCAAAATCACGTCGCATATATTGCAACTTTACTTTCTTTACTCTTATTGAACCTTGAAATTCTTTCTCCAAAATATCCCAAGCTTCCTTTGGTGTCTCAGCTATATAAATTCTTGAAAATACACTATCATCCATAGCTTGTTGAATGAAAACAAAGCTTTTGAATCCTTCTTCTTGTTATCATTATTTCTCCCTTCATCTTCTCCAATTTGCACACCATTCACCACAAGATCCCATAAATCTTGTAACTTAAACAAGGTCTTCATTTTGATACTCCAAATCTCATACTTCTCATTATTGAAGATGGGAATCAAAGGTTGAGAAGTAGTGCTCGTTGCCATGAAAAATTTCTTAAAATACTTGAATGAGAATCACACACACATTGTTTTTAGAAGAATACACAAAATCTTCTAAAATTTTGCTTCAATCCAGAAATTTGATGCCCACTTCAATCGAAAATGGGCTCTGATACCACAATGTTGGAGAAAATTGGAGAGAATGGAGAAAATAAAAACTAAAGAAAAAAAAAAAGCTCGGTGAAATACTGAAAAACATAACAGAGTTTTTTTTTTCACACTCATAATAACGTACATGATAACATAGCAGTTTTAAACAAAAACCAAAATAAAGCAAACCGTCACTTGCACCTTTTCACTAACATCGTTTGAGTTTAATAACACAAATAATAAATTAATTTTGCATTACTTTATAACACACATCGCACACGTAAGCTTCGAAATCAAAATTTTTTTATTGATATCTATATCTCTCAATCAAAAGATCAATAAGAGTTGCATAATGATGAATGATAAATTGATTACAAGTAAATTTCTATTGTGGGTCGATGGAATTAGATGTTTTTGAGGACCTATTGAATCTATTTTATTTCTATTTTTTATTTTTTTTAAGAAAGAGAGAGACATAAAAAGAAATTGTTATAAAGTATTTGAAAAGATTTTTTTATTAGATTTAAATAAGAATTTGACTCTTAATAAGAATCAATGGAGAAAAAGATTCATGTAGCCGACACCTCTTAATGGGATAAAGGTTTGTTGTTGTTATTGGTGATAATGGTTCCCATTTTTGTTTATTTATATTTAGTCATGATAATAGTTTCATTGTCCAATATGAAAAATGAAGAGAGAGAGAGATTGCAGGTGTAGCTATTTAATTTTAATCGTGTAATTACCTTATTTTTGAAGGTTGAAATTAAATCTAATATTCTTTTTTTATTTTACTCTTTTATGTTAGATTCAACCCTTATCATCCATAATAGAAAGCATGATTGAAATTGAATAATTGCACTTGCCCAATTACCATATCAATGTCAGAGAATCCAAATCTATTAATTTCCGGCATGAGAGAAGAATGAACTAATGCTTTAGTTTTTTATTTATTTTTCTAGAAATAAATAATTAATATAAATGAGATGTAAATATAATTTTTTTTTAACTTAGAGAAAATTTATATTTCGTTTGGGACGCTTTCTAACAGCTTTTTAAAGCAGCTTTCTATTACAAAGGTTTTAATTTTCTGTATTTTTATATATCATCAAAAAATTATATTGAAAGAGCAAGAATCTCAAGGCAAAATAGCATTGGAAACTTCTGCAATTTAATCCGGGGCCATCCGAACTCCGATTTCAACAAACTTATAGTTGAGATGAATGTCTCGAAAAGACGGACCCAATGACACCTAATTCGACCAAATCCGAGCCCAAATGGGTCTAGCACTACAGGAAATTCAGCTGTTACCGGCGGCCTTGACCGGCGGTTATATGGCCGCTAGTAATAACGACGGTTTTACCGGCAGTTTGGCAGGAACACCGCCGGATTAAATTGGACGACCAGCTGTCACCGGCGGCTTAACGGCCGGAACACCGCCGGTACTAAAACCGGTAATAACCGACGGTATAAGCCGCCGGAAGGCCGTCGGCGAATAAAACCGCCGGCAATGATTTCCTACTGCATTTTTACCAGCGGCGTGAGAACCGCCGCGAAGCCGCCGGTTTTACCAGTAAAGCCGCCGGAAAAAATCGCCGGTTTTAACTGAATTTCATGTAGTGATATAAATCAAGGACTCGAAGAACATTTGAATAGTTCAAACCATAATTGGACGACCAAATAATTTTCAAATGTGACATAATTATAGTCGAATTGGACGGCTTGACAAGAGGAATCCAACGAGCCCAAGAGAACCAAATTCTAACATCATTAAGATACTTAAATACTCGATAAATGGTCCACGATCAAAGGAGTTGATATCGGTCTTCCATTCGAAACACTCCCAATATGTCCTTGATCTTTTCCTTATTTACTCGCCATGCCACTATATATATATATATAACCCCTTATTCTTC